GGGGGGGGAAACTTTTGTTTAGAGCTATAAACGAAACTCGAACTACTTTCAATTCAATCTATTCAAGTTAAAAGCAGCTCAACTGTACATATGTAGTAGTAGCACAAGGCTAGCAGACCGCAACCTGTCTTTCGATTTAAAACGCGTTCCATTTTTTCTTTTTCAGAGGAAGTGCTCGTGTTACCGGGAGGGAAGCGGGGAAGTGTGTCTGTGTGTGGGGGGGTAGGGGAGGGGTAGGGGTGGGGTATAGGGAAGGGAGCCGCGAGCCGCACTTTAACACGCAAAGAGCCGCATAAGGCTCGCGAGCCGCAGCTTGGCCGCCCCTGGTGTATATGATGTGATGATTGTCAACTTTACATTACCATTGGAAATCGCGTCAAAACCACATTCGTTTGTTGCGTGTTCTGAAAGGACTCTTCTAATAAACGTTGTAGCGCATGCTGAGTGAAATTTTTCATACCGCAAAAAATGAGTTTATTTTGGTAAGTTTGTTTCAGAAATTACAAAAAACGGGGAAGCTATGTTTAAAAACCAGCTGTATGAAGTCTCTGAGTAATAATCTCAAACCACTTGCATTCCATTGTAGGATGGAGGCCTTCTTTTGATGTTCGCCTATACTTCTGGCGTATACGCTGTCTGCGATTCTGGCATTCACTAAAGAGATTTATTAATCGCTTCGTAGTTAGCAGAACCTCTACGTCCAGAAGGTGGTTTGCACCAGTGTTCTTGTATGATAGTATTTAACGCAACAAATAACATAGGTAGGAGAACCTCAACAAGATATTTTTCTAGTCGCTGTGTAGTGCGCGAGAATGGTGCGACTGTGTGCAAAAAAAAGATGGGCAGGTCACGGGGAGACGTCAGGAAAACTAGAACGGCTCCTCTGAAATGACCCCATCGCGAAGGAAGCCGATACAAAAGCGGGGGTAGTTAGATTATGTGGTGAGAGCAGTCGAATTGTTTAGTGCCGAGTAATAACTAGAGTGGTTGAATTTATTATTGTTACTGGATACAAGGTAACTCCCATGAAAGAGTCTGTGTTACGACATTTTATGGGAGGTGCTCCTTTCAGCCTTTCAGAAGCGCATTCTCACACCAAATTGATTGGAATTACGAGGAAGCCATTGAAAACGATGGGTTGTTTTGATATTCCTTTCAAGATAGGAACCATTACTTTTCAACACCCCTGTTTTGCATGCGCGGATGATGTTATGCTTCCAGTTGCTAAAATATTAGGCCAAGATATTGTGCAAAAGTGTGGCATAGATATTCTGGCACGGAGGGTATTCTTAGAATAGGAGGGCAAGGCGTCCCTATTCTTAACTGGAGAAAAGAGGACGATCACCACGCGCTATCTCATGTACCACCAACCAAAAGTGCACGTTCTCCTGTATTTCTTACGAGAGAATGTGTAACATCACCGATGCCGAAGACAATGACACTTGTCAGAGTGAATCATTTGATGCCGATTTCAGGACATGGTGTTGTAGAGATGCGTGAAATAGGTACACACGGACTATTAGGAGCAGATGTGGCAGTTCAAATCAATAGTAATGGCGAGGTAACCTGTGAGAATGGCCAACCTGACATTGCAGGAACGTCGCGTACCCAAAAATCAGCTAGTTGGAGATTTCATAAGTATTGTGAACGAAGGATTGACTGGAGAGCCCGTCTTGCATTGCAGCGCACAGGCAGAAGCAAGAGAAGGGTGGCATCCTTCTGGGCAATTTGATCTTGGCCACCTGCAAGAGGACGAAAAAACGTCGGTTCTAGATCTTCTTGCAAAGTACAAGAGCGCATTCTTTCTTCATAAACTAGACTTTGGACGCTGCGACGTAATAAAGCACCGCGTGCCACCCTTAGTAGACGCACCTGTTTACAGAACGGCCTACAGAATCCCTTCTGCAAAGCGAGGAGATATGGAACAGCAGGTTCCATATCTTCTCGAAGGACATAATTGAACACTCCAAATCCCCGTGGGGCGCTGCTGCTTTGTTGGTACAGAAGGTAGGTGGGTCATTCAGGTTTGTGATCGACTACAGAGATTTGAACAAAGTGACTCGAGTCGACTCTTACTTATTGCCCAATATTGAGGAAACGCTTGCTCTTTTGTGGTCTGCACACTACTCCTCTGTCGTAGATATGGCCACCGGTTACTGGCAAACAGAGATGGAACCGAGCGATAAAGAGAAGACCTCTTTTACCACACCAAGTGGGCACTATCAGCGGAAAAGGATGCCAATGGGATTGGTTAATATTTTCACCATTTTTCAGCGTACGGCGTATTCACTTTTGGCCGGGATACTCGGAAAGACATGCTACATCTATCTAGATGATATCAACATCCCTAGCCAGAGCTCGGACCAACATCTTAAAGATATCGTGATTGTCCTGAGGATACTACAAATGGCAGAACTGAAACTGAAACCCTCAAAATGTCAATTCCTTAAACAAGAAGTGAAGTACATCGGACACATTTTGTCAAAGAACGGGGTTCGACCAAATCCGGAAAAGACGCGCTGTGTTAATGAATTTCCAAAACTGACAACAGTCAAAGAAGTTCGCCAATTTCTTGGTCTCATTGTATATTACAGGCGTCATATACCAGAGTTTGCCGAAAAAGCCAAAACTTTGCCTGCGCTCACGTCAAAGAAGGTCACTTTCAGTTGGAGCACTGACGCTGAAGCGGCTTTTGATATTCTGAAGCATGAATTGACGCAGGCTCCTCTGTTGAGGTTCCCGGACTTTTCGAGACCGTTTATTCTGAGAACGGATGCTTCTCAGAATGCATGAGAGCCGTGTTGGTGCAATAGTTCGAAGGAAACGAGCACCCCATTGCATATGCAAGCAGGAAATTGAATCCGACCGAACAAAAACATGCAGCAACGAGACAAGAATGTTTGGCGGTAGTCTGGGCAGTCAAGCAGTTTTGGTGTTACCTGTACGGAAGAAAGATCAAGGTGTTAACCGACTGTCGTGCACTCAAATGCCTGATGAACGCTCGTGGCCCCAGTTATCGTTTATCACGCTGGAACTTACTGTTGCAAGAATATTATTTCGAATTGGAACATCGGGCAGGAAAAATGAATCAGAACGCTGACGCATTAAGCAGAGCTGTAGTCAGAGACGTTATTCAATATGAACCACATTATGATGTCGATCGTTTTATTTGTGCACAGCAAGATGATCGAAAGTTAGTCACGCTCATCTAATCTCCAAGTGCGAAGAGCAACCTGATAAGACATCCGTATGCTATGTTATCGACTCTCGAGGCCTTCTTTTTCGGATAAAGCACGCTACGTTGAAACAAGACTGTCTTGTGAAGAACCGAAGTGTTGTCCCCGAATCGCTTGAAAATTACGTGATACAACTATATCATAATACACCTTACTCTGGACACCAGGGGACAGGTAAAACAAGTGAAAGGGTTCGAGAGAAGTACTTCTGGCAGGAAGGCAAGAGAAGATACAGACCTACTGTGCCCAGTGTGTGCTTTGCGTACGTCCCAAAGCGTCCCACAACAGAAGGCAAGCACCTCTGCAAGTATTCAAAGAGATTGCACAACCATTTCAAAGGGAAGGAATGAATATTGTGGGGCCATTTCCAACTACAACGGAAGGAAATCGTTATCTTCTGGTGTGTGTAGACCACCTTACCAAATATGCAGAAGTCGTCGCGATGCCAGACCAGAAAGCCGAGACTGTTGCTAAAAAGTTTGTGGAACTCGTAATCCTTCGCCATGGGGTGCCTCAGCAAATCTTGACAGATCAAGGCCCTAATTTTACATGAAGAGTTTTCCAGGATATATGCACGTTGCTAAGGATACGGAAGCTACAAACAACAGCTTATCATCCCCAGCGCAACGGAGCAGTAGACCGCCCTAACCAAACCTTGGTCTCAATGCTATCCCACTATGTGTGTGCTGACCAGAAAGACTGGGACCGATGGATTCCATATTGTATGTTTGCATACCACACAGCCAAGCATGAAGGTACAGATGAGACGCCTTTCTACTTACTATATGGACGTAACGCTGATTTGCAGGATCTCTCATATGAGCCACCACCTTTCAATTACAATACACCTCAGAATTACTGTCATGAACGTCAGAGACTTACATTGGCTCATGAAACAGCACGAGAGAAACTATTCAAATCAGCTGTACACAGAAGAAAACTGTACGATCGAAATTCGCAAAGAGCAACTTACAACACAGGTGATCTCGTGTACATTGATGTAAAGGCCGTTAGACGAGGAATATCAAAGAAGCTGTTTCCTAACTGGGAAGGCCCGTACCACGTGACTTAAAAGCCATCTGATGTTACATATCGTGTCAAGAATGCCCGCACTGGGGAGCGGAAAGTGCTCCACGTGGACAGGATGAGAAAAACGACGGCAGGTGAAACGCGAACACTGAAGTTAGCAGACAACCACCACAAATGCTCTCAAGACGAGAGATACTCTTTCTCATCCTTAAAGGGGTCGTGCAAAGAAACTATATATGAACAGTCCTAATTTTATAAAATTGATGAGACCTTAAAGATCCCAAATCCCAAATATCACGGCAAAATATTACGTCCACATTTTATAAACAGCGTTTGAACATAATATTTCTTCGGGTGCCTGGAACGACTATGCGACACCGTTGCCCAGCTTGAGCAACAAAACGTCACAATAAGACCTGTGTAAAGTTGAGAATCTACTGCATTCTATATTGTGTTGCAATAATAAAAAGTAAGTTATGAAAATGCTGAGGAAGTTACGGCGTTCTAAAACTAATTCGGAAGTACTATATCACGTGATTGCAGGTACGTTTCGTTTTCAAACACATTCGAGACTCCCGTCGTCCGGCTACCATAGCAACGTCGGCTCCCCGCGTCCCCGCTCCTGTCATCCCGTCGTCTGCTCGCCGCTGCGCATTTTCTGTTCGCGGCAAGTTTAGGTTGTTGTGTGTGCTTGGCGTCGTTGGCGTCTGTTGTGTACTCGCTTCAGCACTCGCCATGCCAACCGTGTATCTTTTGAGAGAGTGCAGCACGAGGTGTGGTAAAACGAACGACATTCGGTTCCACAAGTTACCGGACGATCCACAGCGAAGATCGGCCTGGCTTCGAGCCATTGACCGCGATGGCCCAGACGACATCGGTAGGAGCCAGGGCTACCTGTGTTCTCATCACTTTTTAACTGGGGACTACGATATGAACATCGAAGAGCGGCGAAGCCTTGGCCTGGAAACGAAACGGGGGCGTCTGAAGCCAGATGCCGTGCCCACGCAACATCTCTGGTTCGATGCACCACCAAAAAAACGAAGGTCTGAGGTACGTTAGTGTAACATGAACTGTCGAAATTCGTTCTAGCTTCCCAAGTAATTTCTTGGTTAATTATGTCGTTCTAGAATCTCAACGGCTCACCGGACGTCGTTAACATGACCGTCGAAGAAGGGCCGATTCCATGTCGAACAGTAGACGGCTGGACACAAACGACCAAAAACGCCGTCACAGCTCTCCGTCAGACTGACGGGGGAGACGTCCAAACACAGTGTAAGATTGTCATATTTAGCCTGGTGCAACGATTTTCTTTAAGGCGTATGCAGTATACATTCCTTGCACCTGTAATTTGTTCTCGAATATGGTGCCTGAACGGAGGTTGCTATGAAATGTAGCTACTCTCAACTCTGAACTGTAATATCAGTTTCACCTAACAAAAATCGAACTGAAATGAATATATACAAAACAGAAGGGCTTTAGCATATATGACAACTATGTTTTCTTGTAAGTTTTGAAATACGCAAAGACCGGACGGGACAACACAAGAACGGGACAACACTAACATGCGTTGTCTCGTCCCTTGTCTTTACGTATATCACTCTTTCTAAACTTATATCGTCACCAACGCGCTCACTAAAAAATAAATTTTTCTTATTTGCCTATTTATTAACAGTTACGCAGGCGAGCTTCTCTGTTTGGGCAAAGAAAACTGTGGGTGTGCAGACAGATACACAGCAGCCGACTGGCAAATGCAGACAGTGTGGAGTTGTGTCTACTGACACTGCGGCTTCTGTCTCCGAAGCACCTCCTCCTGCTCCTCCCCCGCCCCTTCCCTCAGTTGTGCCTGTGGCAGGACGAATGCCCTCTCCCATCCCGTTCCTGTCCCGTCGTCTACCACGCACATCCAGTCCCGTGGAATTAGATGCTTCAGACTTGGAGAATGAAGAGGACGACGACCAGGAAGAAAAGGGCCATCGGGAAGAGGAGGACGACCAGGAAGAAGAAGACGACCAGGAAGAAGAGGAGGAAGCGGACCATGTGGAACAGGACTCTGAATTCTTCCCTTCATTCAACGAGACATTATTAAGGTAAAACTCGCTACTTTCTCTACACCCTGCATAGTTTGCATGAGATAATGTATTGCAAACATATTACTCAATCGGGTCATCTCTTTAGGGAGAAAAGCACACAGATCTAACTGCAATACAAATTTTAGGCTTTTGATGCCCCAGAATATTTTTATACCTTGCTCTAGTTTTCTTTCAGTAAAAAGCAGGTAAGAAACATTTGCCCTGGGAAGTTCAAAAAGTTAGCAAAACAAAATAGTTTTGGGCGACTTCGTCATTCTATGGAGCACGGGTGTGCAAAGTTGTCAGGCTTGGGACACTTAAAATACCTGAGCACCTCCACCCCTTGGCGTTCATTTATACGTTATACTTACTAATGAGTCCAGTTTTCGTTCCTTTAGTGCTTTCCCCTGATGCCCATAAAAATACAAATTAAACTAAGTAAAGCCTTTCCTTGCACAGCAAACTGAAAGAGGTGACGGGTGCACCTGCAATATCCATGATTCTTAATTTTGTACATATTTAGGAAAATAAGCTGAGGTCTGACCCTATATAAAGATGTGACCAACATTTTGTCTATTTTTGACAAGGCTGAAAATGCAAGTTCGTACAGGTAGAGTAACGCAACGGTCAGAAGAGCGACAACTCTGTTCCACAACAGCCGCATACTTGCGCTCTTGAACAAAGATGTTTCCGATCAGTCAAGTGCCCACATTCCTTTGTGTCAACACACACGCCTCAGACGAAAATAATGTTCTCTTCATTGTCAACTATTGGGAACACAATGACAGCTGCCGGCTATCTTCTGTGCCTTCTCTGACAGGCATGTGCTGCGCAGTGAATTAAGAAATCCCGCTAGTTGAAGCTGATAGTAAAGCATTTGAAGCAATGCGAAGGCGTGTCGTTCGGTAGCTTTATTGTCGGGTGTCGGAGGCCCCACAACCCCCAGACATCATCCCGTGACCCCTCGGAAGAGGGGGGGGGGGGGGGTGTTGCAAGTTCGACTTTGCACTCTTCAACTAACTTTAAAGGGTTGTCTGGTTTTCTAGTGCGCATCCAAAATACTGAGTGGTCCCACACAATACCACTAACACACAGTGTTAGAATATGAGTTTGTAGGAATGGACGTCACGTTAGAAAGCATGATATGCGTACATGCATGATAGATTTTCAGTTTATTGGACACTGGCAATTACAATAATGCACACTGGAACACAAAAGAGAGTTCTTTTCTGAGCAGTCTCGTCACCTTCCCTGGTGTTTTTTATTCTTGTAAATTATTATCCCCAATAGCCCTAAACAACAGGAACGATGGATGTCGTGCGTCTCATCTATTACTACACTCATGCTTTTTTCAGAAGGGATAGCAACATTGAAGAGGTCCTCCCGGAGAATGACAGGAAATTCATCGTGTTCGAGACATCTCTAAAGGAACTCTTCAGGGTGTGCCGGAAGTGCGATGCACCATTGGAAAGTGCGTCGAAGGTGTCAGGGACACTGCTGAATGTGCAGACAATCTGTGTGAACAAACCGTGGGCCCTACCTCGGCTCTGCGATGGCCCATAGGACTAAGATGGAGGCTCCATGGCGGCAAAGTATGGGCATGCCCCAATCGGGCTGCCCATGCAAAAAACCGTGAATTCCCCCTCGGCTGTACGGGGGCCAAAGGCGATGATGTGGCCTCCACAGCGGCTAAATGTGGGCGTGCCCGAGTTGGGCTGCCCATGTAAAACCTTTGTGACCTGCAAAACCAATGTGGGACCCACATTCACGGGGGATGGGGCAGCCTACGTGGGCTTGCATATCGGCTCCCCTTTAGGAGCCCACTTTTTGCTCATTAGGCTTATATTTACGAGACAGACCACGCCTTCGTGGTAGCCATATTACACCCTGTAATACTTGAACCTTGGAAAGAGATAGATAAATTACTAGTAGAAATGTAACTGCAGTTCCAACTCTACCTTACTTATAGGCATCAAGAAGAAGCTGGCTGCTCAAACGAAGCGTGCTGGATGTGGCGTGCTCGAAGTCTGGATCCAGCCAGCCAGCAGCCATCTCTTCTGGTGTGCTGCTATCTGTGACGGCAGCCAAGACTTGCTCGTCGACATGTGGCGGAGCATACAAGCCCACGTCATCAACATACACGAGGGCCACCCAGGTCTCTACACACACTGTGTCCATGATGACCTCAGACACAGAATGGCTCGTTCCTGGTAAGCACGCTTGTGATTGAACCACGCAAGTGCTTTTGGAAGATAAAGCACTTCTAGCATAATAATTTAATTTACTCATTTTCACCCTGCGATGATTGCGGCCAATGCTACGGGCCATTCCAGCCAGTCCGGCTCCAATTAAACTTGCACTCTGCATATTGCTGTATCCAACCAGAAAGTCACATGGCATGCTCGAAGCATTTGGTTGGTTCTGACGGCTCGTGGTGTCCAGAGTGGTTCCTCCGACGTTCAACCTATTCACTCAGGCTTCCCACAGGGTAGCATTCTTGGACCCTTTCTTTTTAATATGTACATTAATGACATTGTAAACATAAGTCCTGCAAAATTTGTCATATATGCCGACGACAGTTGCCTATTCTTTTCTTCATCTAATAGTGATGATCTTGTCACAATCGCCAATAACACTCTGTCCAAACTTGGGGCATGGGCAAAAGATAACTGCTTAAAAATTAACACTGATAAAACTAAAGCTATCATTTTTCGACCCAAGAATAAGTGCGTAAACCTAACGAGAAGCATTGTGCTTGAGTCTACGCCAATTGAAATTGTCAGTCATTTTAAAACTCTTGGAGTCATATTTTCGGAACATATGTTGTGGGATCAGTCACATTAACCACTTACTTTCAAAATGATCTGCCATCATAGGTCTGACATTCCGTAACGGCAAAGCACTCCCAGTCAGTCTGAAGCTATTAATTTATAATTCTTTATTGTATTTTCATCTGAGCTACTGCAACATTGTCTGGCGTAACACCACATTCACAAACATGCAAAAATTGTTTTTACTGCAGAAAAAAATGGTTAGAATAATATGCAACCTGCCTTATGATTTTCATACAGGCAGTTTGTTTAAGAAGTTTAGCTCATTAAAAATTCATAGCCTTCATGAATACAGATTGACTATGAGTTTAAAATAAAAAAAAGAAACATTCTAAATCGTTGTCAACTCTAGCGGCATTAACACCAATTCTACACCTTCACTTAACTAGACACATGGAGTATTGGAAGCTTGTCTACTGTTCTACTAACTATGGTAGGCAAATGTTGCGATATACCATACCAAAACTGTTCAATTTCGTTCTAGAAAGAGAAATTTGCATTCCCACTGTCTCCTTCAAAGCTTTGCGTTCTTTTTTTCTGTAGCGGTGATTTACATCCCCCACTCAAATGAATCTTTAAATTTGTTAATGCTATATAGAATGCACTCCATATTGAAAAATATTTTTTACCGGAATGTCATTTCCACTAAAAGTCTATTTTACTAGATTACGGGACTCTTTTAAGTTCCAGTAAAGCCAGAATTTACCAGAAGATCATTAGATTGGCCGGAATTTACCGTGTTTTTTTTCTTAGGAGGAAGCGTGTGAACCGTGGTTAATTATGTTTACCAGATGCTGGACGATTCGTTAACAATTAAAGTGTTTAGTCCATATAAACCTGAAGGTTCTATGTATTTATTTAACAGGGTCGATACCAGTGAAACTATTTGCACAGCTGTAGGCAAAAGCAATCAGACCAAATAGGAACAACCAAGTTTTTTGCCGCAAAAGATATCTTTCAAGGTACTCACAATGCCGTTTGGTAAATTCCTAGACGCACGGTAGTTCACCTAATAAAACCGCGCAGGTGCACCACATGGACACACACACGTATACTGTCAGCAGTACGTTTAGCGAAAACCACGAACGCGCGGAGCGAACATCCGCCGCCGTTGAGAAATCCTGGGCACACTCACGATGTCGTCCCTGATGCCGTCACCGCGGGTGCGCCAGGCGTCAGTAGTACGCTTAGCAAAAACCACGACCGCGTGGAGCGAACATCCGCCGCATTGAGAAATCCCGGGCACACTCACGCTGTCGTCCCTGATGCCGTCGCCGCGGGTGCACCAGGCGTCAGCTAGCACGCTTAGCGCAAGCCACGATCGCGCGGAACGAACATCCGCCGCCGTCGAGAAATGCTTGGCACACTCACGATGTCGTCACTGATGCCGTTGCCTCGGGTGCACAAGGTGTCAGTAGCACGCTTTGCGAAAACCACGAGCGCGCGAAACGAACATCCGCCGACGTTGAGAAATCATGGGAACAGTCTTTTTCGCTCGCTGGCTGCTTCTGAAGACGGCCAGACAAAAAGGCCTAAGATACAAGTCACTGAAAAGTATATTCTTTTCATCTGCACACCCAGCTGCTTTGGAAGATACAAGTCGCACACATGGAACAAGAAGCCGAGACTTGAGCGTTCGTTCCTGGCCGGCCGTTGCTCGGTGACGGACAAGGAAACCGATTTTCTTTAAAAAAAATCAGTCAGCAAAACGACTCTCTTGCATTTTCCCCACGAACCCAATGCGAGGGAGAGATGATGCGTGGGGACTCGTCCTGGGTGCGAGGCACAAAAATTACACACCCAGTCCCCGGCTCGTCTCGAATCCCACCTCCCCTCGTGTCGGCTACGAGTGAAGGTCGGTAAAGAGGGAAGCGAGTCACCTGTTTCGGGTAAGATTTCTAGGAAAACCGGGTCGTCTGATATACGAAAGGGGCTGCCGGTGACATTCCAGTGAAATCTGTTTGCCGGCAAATAATATACCAAAGACAGGTGAACTGGTTTCGTATGAAAACGGGTAAAAATTGCCCACCTTTTTGGATCGTCAAAACAGTTCACTGCACGCACTTCTTGAGGATTGCAACGTCGTCCCGAGCTAAAACTTGCACTCACGAGAATGCCGCTCAAGTGGTCTCGTACCTTCTCTGGCCAAGACTTTAGCCTGCTGGAAATATCAAGTTGCCGGTGATCGCTGCCCACCTTTTCGGATCGTCAAAACAGTTCGCTGCACGCACTTCTTGCAGAATTGCAACGTCGTTTTTAGCTAAAACACACACTCACAAGAATACCGCTGCATTCGCGGCCGCCATTACAAACACAGTCCCACTGCTCGTCTTGGCTTCCTTGACTTTAGCCGTTCCCCTAGCGCCGGCTTCCAGTGATGTTCGGTGTCCGGCAAACGAGGGTGGTTTCCGGTAGATTACACTGGCGGGTAATCGAAAGTGGTTTTGGTATAACTTCCAGCGAAAGTGGCTACGTTGGTTTCTGGAGAAAATGAGTGGAAATTAACCGTTTCCTCTGAATGTCACGGTAAGTTTTTGCCGGATTTTAGCCGTAAGTGGCTCCGGTAAAAGGTCCAGCGAAGTCTGGTTACTGGAAGTGGCGGCCGGTAATATTTCCACCAAAGACTGGTAAACTACGCTGGTTTCTGGTGCAAATGAGTGGAAATTAACCCGTTTCCACCGAATGTCACTGGAAGTTTTTGCCAGATTTTTCAATAGGAGCTCTTTTTCCGTTTTTCGCATTTCGGTCTGCAACGACTGCGCATGCCATCTGTTTAGGTGTTTAATAACTGTTTTGTAATCTGGTGCATATACTATATATTTTTTTTTTCTGCAATGCCAATGTACGGGGCCGAGGGCTGGTCAAGCCTCCTTTAAGGCTTTTACTCTTTGCTCCACCATGTTTCATGAAAAATAAACTAATATTATTATTATGTAGAGTAAGAAAGAGTACAGGCTGTGCATCACGTTATGAATGAAAGAGTACAGGCTGTGCTCACTACATAGAAACTCTAGTATACAGCTGCAGAGAGCCTTGGGGCAGCAACACTATATCCGGTAGCCTGTCCTTCTTTTCCACCAGGCATACGTACTGTATGCCCACCCTTAATATGATACATGGCCTCTGAAATGACTGAATTGTTCACAAGAGGGCTTAGTGTCCGCATTTAGCTACTGGGTAAATATTTCTCAGGCACTGGAATAAATCTGCCTAATCACGTGCTGCCTATACTGCCTGCCTAACAAATGTTATAAACATTTTATCCTGTAGCTGGTATGCCGAAATCAAATAAATATATATTAGAAATTTGGCTACCCCATCTAATGGTTGCAGGCACCCGAGCACATGACAAGTTCCTTGAGGTTACCATTGCACCACGTCTACTCAAGGCTTTTCAGCAGCTGGCCCCTTCCACACACACATTCAGCCTGGAATCCTTCTATAGTGTGCTGATCGGGTATGCGCCCAAGTCTGTGTCCTTCTCCCCCAGCGGCATGCGGGCAAGGTAGGTGACAAACAAGCTCTTCTACACAAATTGAAATTTACAAAGATCCTTGGTTTATTTGTCTCATTCCAGAACACAACTTGCAATATTGCACTTCAACGAGAATGCGAACAATCCGGAAGCGATCACTGCTGATGGATCACCTCAGTGAAAGATCTCGTATCCGAAATAAAAAAGGGAATGGTTCTTGCCCGTCTCAAGCAATCTGACCCATCGTACAGTAAGTGGATTGCTTAGTGCTGTGACGAATCTTGTTTTTAGAGCGCAGGAAAGCATCAGGAAAGCGTCACTCTAGAACGAATGTTCTGCTGTAATGACTTATACCCCTGTCAGACGGGCTAGTTTAGTGTCACTACAAGCGAGTGCACTTCGCCCTTAGTGTCATTTCTGTAGTGTGCCACACGGCTCCTTCCTGAGGAACACACTTGGCTTAAAGTGAGTTTCACGAACTAACTTCGCTCGATCGAGTGCGTGGCATCAATAGGAATGTTTCAACAGTAAAACAGAACAACACGAAAACCAAAAGCGCCGCGTTAGTTTGTTTTTATAAAGAAAAAAAATCGTGAAAAAGAGGACATGTAGAAGAGTGGCATTGCACAAAATGGTGGGGTGGACTTGGAGTTTATGCTGATCTGAACCAAGATTAGCGCAGCGCGAATTGATAAGAGACGACGACAAAGTCAGTCATTCAACGGCTGTCTTGGCTAGCAGAAATGATGGAGCCTACATTTGTTTCAGCATGTAACTATTCGAGACAACAGGATAATTATGATGTAATTAGGCAGTTTCAGAACCTCCTCGTAGACTTCCATGGAACGAAGCAGAACGCCAAAGTTGGATATGCTTCGTTCTTTATCTTGGCTTGCGATGATCGATGA